AATTCTGGGAGTTGAAGTCCACACATCTTAAAGTTCCCAAGGTTGAGAAACACTGGTTTAGGGGCTCGGCAGCTTTTGTTTAAGGTCACTTAGTTTGTGTTGGGCAGCCTTCTCAATCAATCAATCAATTAATCAATCAAGTCAATCAGTGAAAAAGTAATCACACAGTGAAATCTTGATTTACTGGACCTTGACGTAACAGACTGCATGCAACAGCCTGAATTTACTCTCCAATTTGACAGATGCCTGCTTCCTTCCCTATTAGTTTGTTACAATGTGAAACAGTAGTAGTAACAATATGATAAGTGGAATAAGTAGTGTTTTTATGTATTTAAATAAATAAATAGAATTTATTTAAATAATTTTAAGGCCATCCCTGTCAATCCAGTGACTCTGGGGGGCTAACATACATAAAGCAAAATAAAATGACCATAATACAATACAGAACAACAGTGTTTCTCAACCTCAGTGACTTTAAGACGTGTGGACGTCTGTGGACGTGTGGACGTGTGGACTTTAAGACGTGTGGACATCGTGCTGGCTGGGGAATTCTGGGAATTGGAGTCCACACGTCTTAAAGTCACTGAGGTTGAGAAACATTGTAGTACAATATGGCCAAGGCTCCAAACAAACATGGAGGAACATGAAGGAGCAGGAGGAGGGGGAGGAGGAAAAAGGGATTTTAGTTTAGAAGCAAAATGTGCAGAATGATTGTCTGCATCCTGGGTCCAAAGGTCCAAAGATACCTCCATCAAGGATTTTTTCAAAAAAATAAATTTGTAAGGCCACCCAACTCCCTAACTGTTTTGGGCAATGTATTAAAAAAAAAAACAGGAGTAAAACAATGCAAATTTTAAAAAACCACAGATGTCCAGTAGAAGAACATCATCCAGTCTAAAAATTATAGTCTAACCCAAGCTTAAGGGTCTTTTAAACATAGGGTTTAAAGATCCAAATGGATCTTGGGGGAAAGTTGTTCCAGAAGGCAGGTGCTGTGACTGAGAAGGCCCACTTCCTAGGTCCCATCAGATGCCACTGCTTAATGGAAGAGACCTGGAGCACACTGGCTCTGCCTGATTGACAAGGTGGGCAGAAATCACCTGAGACAGATGGTCCCTTAGATAACCAGGCCCTGTGCCCTTAGGATCTCTCCAGACAACATCAACCTTCCTGGGAGCAAAATCTTCCAAAGAGAGATCTTCCAGTAGGACCTAAGGAGAAGGAATGGGTGCCTTGTTGTTAGTCGTCAGTCCATATAGCAGCAAAAGTGAAGGACTGCAGTAAGGAAGAGCTGTACTTGGTGCTGATAATTATCTTCCTTTCCCAGCAATTATAATTATCCCTGGGGGGAAAAGCCCACGCATTTCATATGCTAGGGCTGTGTAGCCCTCTGGATTTGCTCTCAAAAAGGGCCTTCAAAGCACACTCCAAACCTTTAACTTACCATGTAATCTTGGTAGCAGATGTGGCTGCTTGAAGCTGATTCTGGCAGGGGCTCCCTTGGTGCTCTTGTAGGTTCTCGAGCAACTTCTGGAGACTGATTCAAAAATGCCCCACCGACCTATTAAATACATGGAACCTTTGTCCCATGTCTGCTTGGTCTCTCACCTGCTCTTGGCAGGTAATGTGACTTTGTTCCCTCTATTCCCTTGTAGTAGACAAACTCTCCCCCACCCTCTTCCATCGATCCATGCTATGGTATTGCCTACAATACATCAAATGCTGGTGGCAATTAAAGGATTAGAGACAGGCTATAATTGCATCCCTGTGCAATGAAGTTCTTCAGTGATTCTGCTGCTGCCTATACTGTAATTATTCTGCCTTTGCCCTGATGAGCCAGGATTAATGGTGGGGGTCACAATGAGCGGGCATTGAATATGTACTTCTGAACTACTGCTTTATACACAACCCAAGAAAATCATTGCTTGATTCAAGGCTGCTTGGCCTGGTGGGCCAAGCTGTCTTTAATCCACGCCAGCCCAGCTGAATAAGATTTCCACCTACACTTGACACAATGAACATAACATTAAAGTTTCCCATGCTTTGCACTTTAAAGCAGCTTCCATAATCT